TTCGTACACTCTATGTATCTCGAATTTGAGATCAGTGTACACTTTAATATGTCTCAATGTAGACAAATAAAGTTTCTATATAAAACATAAGAAAAATGCTTGCATCAACAATCAGCGTTGGCTCGCAATGCCATTTTAATATTATTAATTCGATGGATTATCGTACAATCTTTTCCCTTATATGTATTTGATTTTAAAATAACAAAATATTAAATACATACTGTGACGTGTGTTATAACGTAATAAAAATTTTTTAAATATTTCATTTTATGCATCAGTGCATTATCAGTTTAGATCGCGTTGTTGCTGTGCAACAATTATCACAAGACAATTAACTTGGCTTGTGTACAAGGCGGTACATTTTCGGAGTGTGTGGCAATCAACGCGGAGCAAACGAGCCAATTGTTAATATTCACCACCGAAATCCAATTAATTCCGTGACGGTTGATTAACGAACAGCTACTAATGCGAGAAGGAAATCCGCTGCACTAAGCGCGCAACGCGAGCGCTCCTTTCGAACTGATGGGACGAGTGCATCGAGGAAGAAAGCCCGCGGACACAAAAGACGTGCTTTCGATTATTAATGAAGTGTCTTTGTCTGGAACGAAACGCATTAACGCCATGCTCCGCTACGGGCGGTGCTACGTATTTATTATGATGTACCAGGAAGAGCATTTCTACCCCAAGTTTACAGATGTTCCTCGTCATACATCCATTTTTTAAACGAGTTCGCATTTCTACCGCCAGTTACGCGATCGCGGCAATTTACGATATTCCATGATGCAGTTCCTCCACTAGCGCATCCTGATGTCAATAATAAGGGGGGGGAGGTTTGACCTGCTTTAATGCATTTTTCACCAAGATTGTTGAAACGAATCCAGCAAAATTGATTTTTTTTAACTTGGAAGGGGGAGTTTTAACCCCAAACCCCTTCCCCCCCCCCCCCCAGGATCTGCCAGTGAGTTCCTCTATGGTTTATCTTTTGCGTTTTGTAGTATTTTGCATATTAAAAAATAGAAAAAAACCTGATTTTGACACACAACTATCGCTCAAAAAATTATTTTAATTTAAAAACCAATAAAAGTTGGTGTTTATTCGTAAAGTTAGGACAAATTGGAATGTTAAAATAAAATATTAGATTCAATTTATATTATAATATCTTTTTCAAAAGCTAACAATATTATATTTTATAATGGATCATATTTATGTACTAATTTTTGAAACATTACAATAATTAAGAAACTGTAAAAGTAAATCTGCATATAATATAGATAAGCCTTATGCGCACGCGTGTACACAAGGAAACCGACAAGGTGTGTGGCCCCATGCCGTGCTCGATCCTCGGCCGAGACTATTAATTAACCCGGCGACTACTGCCTGTCCACTGGTTAATTACAAACCCATTACCTATATTACGTACTTACGTTGCCGAATGGTCGCTTAATCTATACAGTTTTGGACTCGTGATGCACTAATTGCGATCGTTCTGACACATGACAGATTTATTCATATCGCAATGTTACCAGATAATGCAAAATAATAAAACGAAAAAACATCGTGAAATGAAAGCGGTATATTGTCACAGTATTGTATCAACTTTACCTCTTAAAACTTTCCAAGTTTGACGAAAAAAAACACCGTATTTTTTAAGTTTGAGATACGTAGCGGTATATTGATAAAGTATAATACTTATTTTAAAAAAGAATATTATTATCTTTGCATTTTATGTTTTTAAAATATAAATTTATAATATTACTAATTAGAATATTATAATTTTTATTTACCAGCGGTAGGTATTACCGATCGCGAGAGCTTGCATACACATGTGCACGCATTTGAATGTCAAGTTTGTTCAAGATGGTTGTTGCAACAAGTATCGATAAATTCCAGCATAGCTATTAATTATCCCCGCGGAATTATTAATAATCGTTGTCATCTTGGCAACGAGACTCTCTTGTGATACATCACGCGAAACCCACCAATCATAGGTTACATATCACAGTCTTACGTTGCTAAAAAAAGAGGAACGAACTTGGAATGACAAGTTTGCCTGCAGCTACAAGATCGTGAAAGGAAAGAGAGAGAAAATTGGATACATCACTGCCTACTATCAAGGATCATTGCTCCCCTACGAACTCTCACGCATGACGTTACGTATGTAATCAAATCAATAAGTCAGCTCGAGCAATAGATAATGATAAACGTCTGTCAAGATCTAGATTTTAAGTTGGCGATTGTTGTCGTTCTTGTTCTTTCACGATAAAAATTATCGCATTTAACATAGATTTCAATAATTTAAAAAAATTTTTAATTCGTGTAATAGTAATGTAATCGCACTGATTGAAACTGATGAAACCACTTTCGGATTATCTTTATAAAATATAGAGAATGCGTGTGTGATAACATTTGAGAATTATATTAAAATAAAATAAAATAAATAATATTCAAATAACAAACAATATATCTATACGTTTTAATTACTCACAATTGTATAAAAAGTCAGTAGCTTCAAATAATTTATTTAAAGTCGACCCCACACATGCACAGAGATTTATTTTTATTATACCGTAGATTGTAATGAATCCGTAACATGTGTTGCTTCCCGGCCGACGATAGATTGATCACGGTGCTTGATGACGAGAACGTCGACGAGATGGCGCGATGAGAGTAAGGACCGGGTACAATAAATAACGCACAGATACGACGCCGAATTAATCGATCGTAATCGATCGATTGGCCGTCCGCCAATCTGCCCCGTGTGGGTTTTCAATTTGCGCGGACCGTGGGGGCCTCCGTACACTCGGATCGCGCACATTAATCCCGCGATTACTATACTCGAGCCTCGCCGCGCAAGCAAAAACTTGCCATTATCTTGTCTGAAAAATCATTCATGTGATATCAATTTCGACGCATCTCGCATCTTGTCCATTTAAACAATACTTTTGACTAATAGTACATCTTTTTTTGCGTGACAATGTAATGAATGTAAATCAACAATTTTCAATTACTCATATGTTTGCGGAAATTTAATTGAATTTCTTACATGTATATACAATATATTTAAATATTATCTTTTTGTCACTTACTATTTTTATTTACAAAAGACTTTATTTTATAGTTTAGAAATTACTTTCATTCAATTCTATTCTACAATTCCTTTCTCACGATTCAAAAGCAATTTTATTGCAAGACGTTCACGAGTTTTATATATATCATCAATTCGTCATTAAGTAGCTACATACATATCTAAGCGCGCTATAGTAATCCTTCAAAGCAATGAAACGTAATGATCACTCCCACCGGAACTCGTCTACTGTCGGCTCGCTTGTGAGTTGATCGATGATGTACAAAGATCGAAACGTATAGTGGCGGGTCACTGTGGCGAAGCTCATAACGGAGCAATGTGAAATTCGGTTCCCGTTTTTTAGTTCCATTATGATATTCATTGGTCATTAATGATACTAACAAAAAATATAAGCTGATTACATCTTTTCTCTTTTTCTGGACAGAAGAATAGAAAGAGAGAGAAAGAGAATCGTTCGCGTGTCCTGGATTGGCTTGCAATTACCATACTGCCCACACTGATGCAGCGGTGTTAATACACACAGGTCGTGCGAGGTGGACAGGCAGACGCGCACAAACGTACGTGATCAGAAGGAAATATTACAGAGCGCGATGACCCTTTCAAGCGGTGAGACCATCGTTCAATCTCGACTTATTGACATTTTTTTCCACCGCAATAACAAATTGATGTCGCGGGAAAGGAGCGCCTAACCTCCTTAACCTGGATGAAAAAAATATAACATATATCTGAGAACTACCGGTTTTTTCTTTTCTATAATTTTTGTATTTTCAAAATTACACAAACATTTTTAGAATATTATTCTGTAACGAACCATGAGTCGAATTAAACTAATATTTCATTTTTACACAGCGACTTTATTCATCGCGACGTTTAACTTTACTTAATTTTCAAATATGCGCTTTATTCTGACAAGAATTTCCACTATTTTCGATGATTGTATTATTAATTTGAACTGAGTATGTACACATAAAGATAGCGATTTGACTTGAATGATTCGTGTATTTTCTTCAGCTGTCATTCAAGCACCAATAGCAATTTATTATTTCCCGGGCAACTTTAATGTGAACTGGTCTCACCGCACGATAACATTTACCCGACAGCTATCTACGCGATTTTTGTTGTCCGATCGTGCGCAAATGCGCCATTGGCCAGCATTTCTGTGTTTTTTCAATCGAGCCTCTCATTAATAACTATGCTAATCGTAACCACCGAGATGCTCATTAGTTTCGATTTAAACGGAGATTATCTTCGAAAATATGGATTAATAGTTGGTTAAAACAGAACGGATAAAGTCTATCTAGAAGCAATCTTCTAGAGCAACTGCAGCATTATTCGATCGATATAATTCAGCGATAATCGACTGAAAGACTTTGCCGAATTTATCCACGCATAATCCGGAATTATGCAAAGCTGTAATACGAAATCTTTACTACGTTGCGAAACTGCTTTAATCCATAGTTCACAATTCTATTTGAATTGAAATCTATAAAATTGTATTTAATAAAAAAAAGGTAAAAAAATATGCAATCAGTGTGGAGTATAGAAATACAAAAATATAAATATGTAAGAACGTACAAATTAAAATATAAAATTAATATATATTAAAAGGCATCTCGAGCCATCGCTGGTTGTTAGTGCAAAAATTATTAATGTTTTCATATAGAAACTTAATTCGTCTACTAGAGACATTATTGAATTGTACACTGATCTCGGATTCGAAATACTAAAGTATACGAAAATTACATACATCAATCTCATTTTCGAAAATCTAAATGTACGAATTAAAGAAAGAAAATATAAATATAAAAATATATAAAAGTTGAAAAAGTTTTACAAAAATCACAGAAAGAAATGTAAGAATACAAACTGTTAGTACGTATGGACATAGATACTATATAAAAAGTAATATTCTTACCTTGTTCACACTCATCAATGTCTTCGGAACAATCTAGTCCTTTATATCCGGTAGCGCAAGAACAGGCGAAGGACCCGTTGATAGGACTGGTGTCGCAGATGGCACCCTCGTGACACGGATTCGACGTGCATGCATCGTCGAGATGGCAAAGCAGTCCTACAAAACAAAGTCGGTTCTCTTTAAGTGTTGTCATACTTGTTACATTAATATTCTCTATATTGTTTAAACAAAATATAATTCTGTTTTACCAGTATTTTTCAGTAAAAATAAAAATATTTAATGGCTTACTAAATGTTTTTGAATTTCCTCATAAAATTGATAGTAGATAAAATAGTAAATATATGTAATAATATACAGAATATAAAAAGTATATACGATTTCCTCAAGCATCATACACAAATCTTTCTAATCTCATCAACATAATAACAATCATGCAGAAGCGTGTACAGTACAGAAAATGCATGTGTCTTCCTTCGATTTACAATAAATTATGTAGTCATACAAATTATTGTGAGCTAATTGAGGAAATTGCCGGCATCATAAACTGAAAAAGATAATATAAAATTGAGAAAGCTAGCCCGGAGGACATAATTTTCCTTGAGAAGAGGCTCGCGTGTGTCGAGGCAAACTTTTCTTTATGAGGTCCGATAACGGTACCGAACTCCCCGGGATATTCATATATAAACCAGAGTAAGTGCATGCAGATGCACGATCACGCCCGCGACTAACTGTAAGTATGTATATCTCTACTGAACTGAAAGCACGCCTAAGGGCAACACAAGAAGCAGCATTATGCGTTTCCATATTCCATATCCGTATCCGTTAACTTTTGTAAATTCCTTCTTTTTTTATTTCTAAATAATAAAATATAAAATATATATAGTTTTGAATTCCGAAAAATTTGCCAATCAAGTTTATCTTGCGGATAACTCTGGCACTCGATAAAACGCAGAATTATTCATTTACTTTGCAGAAAATATCTTTCTGAATTTGTAATTTGTAATTGAAATTTGACTTAAAGTGCTCGCGAGCGGACGAAATTGTCGTCGCGCGATATCAACGCTCGGCTTCCAGAAATAGCGACGATGTCTGACCGCAAGAGAGAAATATATCTGTATTTGGCGATCGTTGCGCGAATCGATTTGAGAAAACCATCTTTGACTACTGCTCCGCGGCAGGGCGGCGGGCGCAAGTAAGAACAGAAACTCGTTTCCAAGGTCGATACACGGCGAGAAGCCTCCGGGAGTCTTCGGAATCTCGAGATTCCGAAGGACTCGTTCTATGCTCTCTACGCAGTAGGCGCATCATACCGGCCGCACGTGTGCAGATACACCTGCCAATGCATCGCCGGAATGGCCGTAGCGTTGCGATATATACGAGTCTTGCTCTCGACCATACTCGGTATCGAGTTAATCAGCCTACTTGTCGGCGGATATGCGATCTCGCAACAGAAGTGAGCCGCAGAGAGATTTGAAATGCTTCCATCTCTCTTTCTTTCTCTCTCAAAAGAGGAATCTTTCACGTTTTTCAGACCATATTATGCGTATTCACACAGCAGATATAAAATTCGAAATTGAATGTAACAATTAGCGGGAAATCAACAATAAAATGCGTTGTCAATTCGGTTGTGATATACAATACTTTGGACACGAAGATGGTAGAAATTCGCATCTTACTATTAAATTAAATTTATTAAATTACAATCCAATATTCTCTCCTCAGCAATGCCCATATCTATAGCGACTGTTACATTTAATGGAATATATTTTTGGCGAAAGCAAATGTCGCACCATTCTGTCTATTTGTTATAATATTCTCCTTGCAAGCCTCACAAAATTTTGAATTATTTCAAATCGCAATTATAATTTTTATCTGAAACTTTATAAATTGATCCGATTCGAAATTTAGAGATTCACAAATTAAACTTAAAATTCCATATAATAAAAATCCATTTAAAGATTCGCTTAAAAAAAAAAAAAGACAGGTTTTTAACAAATAACTATGCCATAGAAAACATTTTAAAAGCTTGTCTTCACGCTCCTCCTTAAAGTAGACAACGATTTAAATTTGCACTTACCGGTTTTTCCGTGCGTGCATTGGCAATAGAAGCTACCAACGCGATCGATGCAGGTAGCACCATTGAAGCAGGCAGCACCTGCACAGTCATCGATGTTGACGCTGCAGTCGGGCCCGGTCCAGCCGTTCACGCATATACATGAATAACTGCCGTGCGAATTCGTGCATGTAGCGCCATTGTGACACAAGGATGGCCGTACAGAGCACTCGTCCACGTCCAGCTCGCATTGCGTGCCCGTGAAGGCCGGCGGACACAGACAAGAGTACTCGTTCACTCGGTCCATGCAAGTGGCGCCATTTTGACAGAGGTTGCCCGGACAATCGTCGATGTTCTCCTCGCAATGATTGCCTCGGAATCCTGAAACACAAAAATATCGCAACCATATTATTTTCGAGTTACAGTAAGAATTAGAATAGGAATGAAACATTGATTCATGGTTAAACTTTGTAAATATGTAGAATAACGATAAGATTGCACAAGCTCTTCTTCAAATAATAGGTACATTAAATAATTGTATGAAAATTAATATGAATTAAAAATAATAAAGATCCAGTTAAAAATAACGATAATAATATTTCAAAAGCGCTATTATTAAAATCATTAATCTATCTTTCGTTGACAATCGAACCGCATCGATATTGTAACAATTAATCGCTGTAATTCGCTTTTACTGTTCGGTCCAATCCGCGGTGCAAGAATGCATTTGCATACTTTAAGATCGATAGAGATAATCGTGACGCTATTAATAATCGCAACTATGAATCGTAGCAATATTTTCCAATCTGTGTTTAACGGGAGGACCGGTAACGTGGGGGAAGAAAAGGACGACACGATATTCTCGGCACAGCAGGTCGGCACGATGATGATCGTGGCGTGAGTATAAAGAGAACTCATTACCGCAACACATTCGCCGGCGTGAAAAATCAAGACGCGTTCAGTACCGAGCATCGGTTTTACCACTTCTATGAATTTATGCTTCGATCGATTGGCGGTCGAGGCGGGTCGAGTAAGAAGAAATAGGCTGACACACCGCGGATAAAGTGATGAGGTCCGATAACCGTGAAATCGGCGCTCCGATGCGCCGAGACCGATTTCTTCCGGTTAACTCGTGCGAAGAAACGGTAAGCAAATAGAGGCGGAAACGCCTGAGAAATCGTGTCGCTTTGTACGCGAATTTTTACGGAAAGATGCAACGCGCGTTTAATTCCGCCGTTGATGTGCGTAATTTTACATTTTGCTATTCTCTCGTACGAGAGAATGCATGATGCTGAATGTTTTGTACAAAAGTTCCGAATCGAAAATTGAAGGAATCGTGCAAAATATTTCTCAACTTCTTCTTAATCGTATAGGCAACATGTGCTACCGCATTTTCCGATGGTAATTCGATTTTCTAAGTTTAAATTAGTTAAATTTGGCCGACGTGGCCCTTGTACTTTTTCGAGTGAGAAAAATATTGAAAGAAATCGGTGATGGATCGATCGAACCGATATTGCATGATGCCTGATTATCCGCACATCATGGAGTTTTATCCGTTCGCCGTTCTCTGCTCTCATTCTGCCGCACAAAATAAACATTTGAACACGCGGTGGCTAATGGATTCGTGATGGTTCATCGTGACCTCAGAAGTCTTGTATTACGTATATATTATTGTGCAAACTAACTAAATGTTTATAAATGTCAATATTAATTTTAATACATGTATGTGGGTAAAAATAATAATTAATATAAAACAAAAAAGATAATAATTTGAACTAGCGTTATATTTATATCAATATGATTTTAATTTATCCTAAATTTACAATTTCTACATTTACTATTAATATACTTTTTCTTTTACTTCCAAATTTAAATTTTAGCATTTAAATCATATTTGTTTTGATTAAACAAGTCTCCATTGTTAAATGTAAAGTTCATATACGTATAATTATACATCTTCTTCAACGCTGCTCGATAGCTCGATCTTTACTCCGCCGCAAAAATTGCGATAAGAATATTTTAAAGAAACAAACAAGTGCAGTGTACATAGAGTGTACACCAGCAAGTAAGGTGCTATCGTAAGTAGCGATAGTGGCAACGGCAATCGATGACTTCAAGTGATCTTTGTATGTGTACACGCATCAAAGGGACATCAAGGGGAATAAAACCGCAGAAATAGAAAACGAAATAATAGCGTCGAGCTAATAGGATCGCTCAGCAATTACTACTTAACAACGTGTTGCGAGAAATGTCGATTTATTTCGCGTTATCAATTATTTACATATTGTTTTAATCGCTCTTGCGAAACAATTCGCGGTATGTTACATGATACCGCCAATCACCGATACATATCAGCATGCAAACATTTATCAATAATATCAATAATTCGCTTTATTTATGGCAACATAATTCACCCCAGCATTGACTTATATTAATACGTTCAAACAATTCTTACGTGATGATAAAAAAAATGTTTTGTATTTTTATATTAACCAATACAACAAATAGTAATGTAATAGTATTTTCATTATTATTATATTATATAATAATAATTGTGTACTCAACGTATTAACGAGAAAATAATTAAAAAATAATTATTATTGAGCATGTCAATAGACTTTTTGGTTCAAATTATCACTACAAATTGTTTTAAATAACAATATTACTGATATTGATCATAATAAAGCCGTGTGCATCTTTTGCATCTTATACTTCCGTAAATAATCCTTTACTGTAAATTAAATATGTGTGTAGTCAAATTAAAATGCGCGAAACGAGATATTCGTTACGTACGAAACGATTGTACGTAGTGCAAAATGTCATCAGAAAATCCGACTATACTTCGTGCACCTCGATCAATATCAGAAATGCAGTTTCGCCTCTCTCTTTCTCTCT